GTACTCTTCCTTCAGTACCATCAGTACCTTCAGTACTGATCAGTACTCTTCCTTCAGTACCATCTGTTCTTGATCGCATGCTATCTCTTAAAATGGCTGAATGTCAACTAGTCATTTTTTATGTAGTGACTCTATACTCCTTTATTTGATGCTTCCTGTTTTGTTTAATATTTTGTAAATCATGACTTAAATTTTTCTTTAGGTTTTTGAGCTTGATATACGCTGAGCGTGTCCTTCCTTTTTGGTTTTCTAACTCCAGGTACTTGCACATCTCATTATCATACTTGGTCTTCTAGAGCTGCTCTTAGAAAATTTCTGTTCAGCTCTTTTACTTCAATTTTTTCTACTTGCTTTTGCTACTCTATGATGAAGAGCACACAGAGGGCAAAGGTAGGAAAACGTCTTATGTAAAATCAAACAGCTTGAGAGTCACTGGGTTTGAGGATTTAGGACCCCAGACTCAGGGAATATTTAGGTCACCTGGCAGACACAGTACATAGACAATGCTCCACATCAAACTTGGCCTTTGCACTTGGAAAGTCATACATTTGATTAAAAACCACTTACTAATCCTGATGGCAAATCACATGAGCTCTAGTGTTACAGTGGTTAAGCATTCTGTTGCTACCCACAAGATCAGTGGTGTAGACCCACCACCTGCTTCCAGATAGATTCAGTCTTCGATATCTTACGGGGCAATTTTTACTCTGTCGTATAAGGGCTGATATGAGTTGTAATCAACTAGAAGGTAGTGGATTCAGTCACCGTCACAGCAAAATGAACTCCATCGTTTTATTTCTATCAGTAAAGGTTTTTGCTTCTATTTTTAAATGTGGGGAATCTAGCCCGATTTTGATAAAACACAAAACAAACAAAAACTAAGTGGCTATGAAAACGAATGAAAGATTTTCAATATTTAAGCGCCAACTAGAAACAAAGCACTGACCTGGGCCTTCTGCAAAGGTGCCATTCGACAGCAGAGAACAGCGCTGCAGTTTCGGCAGATGTCAAGAAAGAGCTCTCTGTAGTTGCCAGAACTCCCCGCTTCACGAGGTTTCATTATTAAAGACAATGCAGCTCCATCAATAATTAAACCGTAGTCTTGCATCTCCGTTGAAAGTCTGTTAGGTTAGACAAATCAGAGAGATTATTCGATAGCTAAATCTACAGAATTGAGAAGATTACATAATTATATGTGGATATATATGTGGATATATCCACATAATTATATGTGGATATATATATATATATTATGATCCGAAGGAATCATACTTCTTTTCTTATCAAGACTATCTTGATAGTACTGAATGTGACACCTTTTACAACGCTTTCTCTTATGCTTTCGTCAAACATTCTCATTTCACTTCGGTCAAGGGAAACCACACTTGTATTTGTAGATCTGTGACCTCACAGAAGGAGAACATTTATCTTGCATTCTCCAGAGACCAGCCTGTCCTCCTGCATTTCCTGGCCACGTTCCTTGACGTTTCTCTTTACCAGCTACTTAGCTCCCTGATGCTGCTTGGATGACCTGAGTGGGTCCGAGAACGGTCCTGAGGGTTTTCTTTTCTGGGATTCAGAATCACCAGGACCATTACTGAGACATTCTGTAGATCAGGTGAGAAAATAAAAACAAATGTCTGTACTATAGATGAATAATTTAAAACTTAAATGGGAGTAGAGAGCTGTCATTGCTTTACCTACATTGATGGAAATGTAAACCCAAATAAAAATCTTAGCTAGTGCATCTAGCATTGGCAAGGGGGAATTGATAACATGTATCTGAATATACTGCTGAAATCTCAGTGGGGGGAAAACAAACAAACAAACAAACACAAAAAAACTCTTGGGCTGATGGCATACACTGCTTTACCAGACAACCAACCATGTATTATTAATATTTATCACCTTCTTCTGACAGATACTCTAAATAGAGTCTACAATGGAACCCTCTAATTGTCTTAGAGGCAGAAGAGAACTACTCCCAGTGTCAAACAGCTAGATAGAGAAAGGATGAAAGGATGCAAGAGATATTTTCCTCTTTGTTGAATAGAAACAGCTCATCTTGTCTTCAGTGTTTAGTCCAACCAAGATGCTGCTGCTGGTAGCACCCAAGAAGATCAAATTCCCAATAAGGTTAATGAGGGCGTCTGACCTTACTAATATAAAGTTCAAATTCTCCAAATTTTGACTTAACCGAGGACTGGATGTGATCCAAAAAATAAAAGTAGGGGCATACAGATATGGGGAAAGTCAATGATATATAAACAGAGAATTGACATTACATATGTAAAGGAAGAGATGTATGTGCAGGACTGTAAGGGAGAACAAACAGACCTGCATTGAAAAATCTCAATAAAGATAAACCTGCCTGTGAACATGGAAATGTAAATGGTTTCTGATAGGCTGTTTCTACATCAGAGCTTAATCTCCTGACTTCCCTTCTGGGACATGCATCAAAACTGTGCTGAAAACCAGTTTTTCCCCCTGGTGGTGGTGGCTTGGGGAGTTGCTGCTGACCCTGAGAAGTTGTCTCTGGTTAGGCTGCCGCTGTAGCGTAGAACGGTCTTGCTCAGCTCAAACAGGACGTCGTGTAGACTCTGCTCTTCGATTTTCTTGGTGGTTAACTCAAGCAGTTGTGTGTTTCTTCTGAACAGCTTGCAGGCGTAGCAGGTGGCTGCGGCCGTCTCCATTTTGTCTCCTGTTAGGACCCAGACCTTGATGCCCGCTTTCTGTAGAGCCTCGATGGTATCGGCAGCCTTCTCCTGCAGCCTAGAGAAAGTGAAATAGAAAACACGTCAACGAGACCGACCAAGGGCCCGTAAATGAAAAAGCACCCCGCTGCTGGCTCACGAGCTTGTTATAAAGTACTGGAGCCTTTTTAAAAACATGTATACGCTTAACTTCATACACTAAAACACTTCACACGATCAAGTCGTCAAACCTGGCTAAAGGATTTAAGAAGTGGAGTAGGCAGCTTGTATAGCCCATGGCTGCCTCACACATCACAGTGCTGTGTTTAGGGCTAGCCTTTGCAATCACGCAGGGCGCACTGGAAAGTGGATTACTGCAGATGCAGTTAGGTTAAAATTGAACACCTGATCATGTGATCTCCTTTTTGATTCGTTTTAAATTCGTTCTAGTTTTAAATATTTTCTGCTTCCTTTGCAATGGAGGTTCCTATCGGTTTTACTTTGTTGTATGGCAGGGGCAGCTGGGGGGACATGGGGAACAAATAACAATGACTACAAGGATGAAAGAAATTTCCAAAAATTGATTGTGATGATGCTTGTACAACTCTTCTTGATGGGATTCGGTTACTGGATTGTATGATAGGTGAATTGTGTGCCAATAAAACTGTTAACAGATAAAACAAGGGCTAATATAACCGACAAAACCAAATCCTTCACCACTCAGAACGCGAGATCTGGGAATAGATGATATATAATAATCCTACTGTTCTTCGTATAAATGGTTCTGATTTGGCCACTCATCATATTGGAACGCGGGTACTTCTAAGTAATACATAGAAACAAATAACAACTAATGATTCCACTACGAAACCCAAACTAGTCACCCCTGAGTTGATTCCAGCTCCCACTGATCCCCCAAGCTGTGAACTATTTTTACACAAGCTCATGACCACCCTCATTTCACACACGGGAACACCAAAATTTAGAAGGTGGAAAACTCTGCCTGAGAAACAATGACGGTACTGGCTTTGGTCACACTGGGTTTTTATCTTGGAAAACTTGGTATGAAAACCATGTTTATCTTATGTTGTTCCCTTGTCGTTATTGTCCTACATTTTAGAATCTTAGTTTTAGATGGGAGTGTGAAGTAAGGTAGTAGGTTCCTCACATGTACTGAATGGAAGTAAAGACTTAAACTCTAACTGGGATGATTTAGGTTAGGTTCTGGAATAAATTTCAAGTCTCAAAACCATATAACAGTATTAAAGAGGCAGCAGAAACCACATTGAATTTTCTAATAACACCCTTTTTCTTTCCCTCCAGTCCGTTTTTATCATTTCCTTTAGCATAGGTCCCGATTTTCCTCAGGCAAACACTACCCTCCTCAGAGCATCCTATCCTGAACATCTATGCTCTCTGTCAAACCGGGGCTACTGAGGGGATCAAATGGTTCACAATCATAAGCACAATGCTCACACACAGCAACTGCTTAGTAATTAACCTCTGACCATCAGGTCAAGACTTAAAAGCTGCTCTATACACAAAATCTGCTTCTTTGTTGCATCTTGTTTTCTTCAACCAACCAACCAACCAATTTTTACTTTACCTAGGGCTCTATTCAATTGAAAACTCAGTAAATGTGCAGGAATGAAAGATACTGGGGGAAAAAATCTAACGTCTGGACTATGTTATGGATTGAACTGCATCAACCCCCAAATATGTGCGACAAAGCCTAACCCCTATCCCTGTGGCTCCAATTCCATTGGAGAACAGGCTTGCTGTGTTATGCTTAGAGGACTTATCAGTGCAGGTCTGTTTATTATTAAGCCAAGCATCTCTGACATATTAAAAGAATAGATAAGATGCAGAGAAACAAGAAGGGGTAAGTTAGGTGACATTACATGTGAAGATTCCCAAAAGCCAAGGAACAGAAGCTGAAAACAAAAGGACACCCCCCACCCCCCACCCCCCGAACTGAGAGAAAAAGCCTCCCCTCAGAGCTGGTGCCCTGAATTCAGACTTCCAGTCCCGGGAACTGTCAGAGCATACCTCCATTTGTTAGTCACCTACTTGTGGTATTTGTTCCCGCAGCACTAGATCATGAAGACTCGCTGCAAATTAAAAGCTTTTACATTTTATGCTTTTAATCACTTCCATAAAATAAACTCTCAGTACATTCCCTAAAGTTTTTGTTTTGTTCTTTGAAATTGGGGTATTCCCCCCACCTCGGATCCACAAAAATAAATTGTAATCCATTCTTATAATCTGCCTCTCAAACTATTAGAGTGGAACATATGTCCCAACCCGGGTGTAAAGAGCTCAGTTGCTGAAGAGCCAGTCCTGACTCACAGTGACTCCAGGTCAGGGAAGAACTGTGCTTGGCGTGGTTCTGACCACTGAGTAGCTTAGAAGGAGATTGCCAGCCCTTTCTTCTGTGGCACCTCTGGGTGAGCTCAGACCTTCTGACTGTCTGGTGAGCAGTTTTGAGCATAAACTGTTTCTACCACCAAGCCTCAAACACATTTTTTTCAATCGATTTGTTATAGATTAGAGGTTTTTTCTTTGATAGTACTTGACAATCTAAAGTTGGTAACTTACCAGTAATTATGATCACTAACTTCTCTTTTACAATATTCTACATCATTATTTTAAATGTCTCAAATAAGCAATGAAAGATTGTAACATGTAAAATACAACATCTGTATTTGGGGGGAAAACAAGCAACCAATTTAGAAAAAGAACGAGTTATTGATTCTATTCTAAAGAGTCATTGAAAGAAACGAACCCATATCTTGACTATTCCTAGCGTTATGTATAAATACTACTTCTAGATAACTCTGGAAACTATGAATTCCAGACATCTATTCACTGAGTGTGCTTTCTGTCCCCAGTATACAGATAAATAAGATTCGATCTTACTCTAACAATATCTAGGGTAAATTTAAAGCATTATTAGTTGCATTGGTGAAAGTTATAATTGCTCTCGTTCATGATCTATCCTGTGATATGACTCTCCAGCATGCAATAAATGAAATTTCTCTTCCTAAGAAACAAACATATCAAACATTAGATGTAGCGACATTCCCTCGAGGTATCACACAGATGGGGCTATGCCATCCTTCTTCGTTTCTACGGATAAGATATGAGCAGTTTCTTTACCGATCCTCAACAGCTGTAGCACCGAGCAGAATAAGATCTTTCTCAATTTGCTCATATGCTTCTGCTAGTTTTTTTTCTCGGTCTTGAAGCGCCACTTTAGCAGCCTGCAGCAGCTTACAGACACCTTCGTATTCTTCTGGAATGAGTCTTTTGTAGGCAACGCACAAGGTTCGAAGTCCCTCCTATAGAATACATTGCAATAGTTAACATGGACTGAAACTGGCACTTGCTGCAATACTACTTGTCAACATCACAACTGCACAACATCACAACATCAAAGAATTGTAAACCAATCAATCTTCACAAGTTAGTTCTTTATAGCTGAATTATTTACCATCACATTAAATAGAGATAATCATTATGGATTATAAAATGTTCAAACTAGTAAGCATGGGAATAAGCAATACATATTGGGGCCATCATACCAAAAGACATGTTATTTTTTTGGCAAATTAACTGTTCAATTAAAACATTTTAGGAGAATAATTTATAATTCTGCAGTAGATATCAAGCACTCTTTCTAAAGTTCATTGGTTTATGTGGGGAAATGGTAACATATTTTGTATCTTATTCAGATGCAGTGAAGGAATAAAAAAAGAGTAAACTAATAATCTCAGAATACCAAAATTCTTTACTGAGGCATAATTCTGGAAGTCATCATACAATAGAGAACCCATGACAAGAGCTAACAAAGCGAGAGCACGCGAGACAGGGCCTGCACAATGCTTCAGACCGATTCCATTCCCATGAAGATGGGGCAAACCATCCTTACTTAGACCTATCAATGCCCACTCAGATGTTTTCTTAACGAGGACATAAAACATTGTCTTCCTTTCTGGTTGGCCTTGTTCTTTTGCCTCCAACTATACTAATAAATAATATGAAGACATTAAAAAAATCTTCCAATACAGTCATTGGTAATTCTAGAAAAATATTGGCTTTTAAGATTTTCCATGGTATATGTTTAAATGTCCTAAAATTCTAAAAACAAAGTAACAAAAAGATAAAAACCACTTTGCTTCTTTTTTAACTTACAGATTTATCTGAAGGCCACAATCACCATAAAGTCAATAGCCCTTATTTTCCTGGGAGCTCTTGGAAGCCAGAAAGGATAAAGGGAGTGCATGTGAAGAACTGGGAATAAAAGAAATATCCTACATCTGACTGAATGTCTATTCTCCAAGAACACTCTGAGATTTCTTCTACTATTTGCCCTCCAAACTTTCTTTCTTGGTCAAAGAAGAACAAGCAAGAGTCCAAAGAGATTCATCTTAAAGAAAGGCCCGCATATTCCTAATACTTCAACAGTGAAGTGTGAAAAGATGCCTCCCCATCAGTCCCTCTGTTCCCTCTCCTAATTCAGCACTCGGCACTGGGCTGTCCTGTTTCCTCTACTCCCTCTTTCGGTACACTGCGAGTTCCCCGAGAGCTGGCCCTGTCTCACACTTCATCACAAAAACCCTGGTCCATAATGTCAACTCAATGGTTTTCCCTGAATGAAATACGTGGTTAAAATCAGATCAGAAGCACACGTAGATTGTCAAGTTATAGATGAGAAGCATAAACATGAATCGCAGAACAAATTCTCTGGCTTTCCCAAGAGGCAATAAAAACACAGGATATATGGCTTCCTTTGTGAGCTGCCAAAATTACATGACAAGAAAATGGCTTTCTAAAGTTAATCATTCAGAGCTGTCCCTGAACTTAGGGTTGATGTGAAAGTTAAGCAAAAGCTTTTAGAAATA